GGAAAGTGTGTTGGAGGGAGGACGGAGGTCTAAAACAAATGGCAGAACGAATCATTTTAAACCCCACTATGTCCAAATGTTACGTCATATTCAAATCAGTTATTACCATATATTTAAATTAGATTTTACCCCTTTTTTGACAACGTCAGGAATATAAGTGCGAGTTAACAATTCATACATTAAGGGTTTTCATACGCCCACCTTCCCTTCTGTTTCAACCCTTTGTTAGATCTACTTGGATTTCCAACATTTAACTCCTGGCATCGCTGATGAGTCCTAGAAGGACAAAACAACTGTATGAAGCAGTGTATTTCCTGTTCGGCACACTTTATCTATTACTTAATTTTGAAGATGCAGAATGTGATGGAATATATGTTTTAGGGGGATAGAGAGAGGGTATTGTTCTTCAAATAAGTTATGTGTAGGAACGAACAAAAGAACAGTGCCGGGGAAAATCTTCTAAAGCACGTGATATTAACGCTATCAGTAAATATACATTAAGTGTGGATTTTGTTGTAAGTTTTGGTCAATTTTTGGTGCCGAATTCATTACAAAATAGCGGCCCCATATAAAAAAAAACTTCTTTTTTTACGTTGTGTGAAATGACATTTTTTTCAAAATGAGGGCAGGTGAACCAGTGTGGGTAACCCATTTAACCAGGACAGTGGTAAATGTTAACACTATCGTATATAGAAAAACAATTGGTTCTGCGGTCCCTATACTTGTAAAGATATGGCGTAACGGTAAAATTGGGAGCTTGAAATAATCTCGTCTCAGTAGTTTCAGGAGATCTATCTATAGCAGGGACATTATTCATGACTGACAGGAAATGAAACGCTACACTTCTTTTTTAAGACATACATAGTTTGATGCCCATTCATATACACATTCATACCACGAGCATTCAAGCTCTCAAAATGGTACATGCTGTTACATTAACAACAATGAAATAATTCTGTTTACGTAATAAAATGCAGTCCAAATCAATTTTACAATATCTAAAAGAGTAGTGTAGTGGACTAAACCTGTAGGTCTTACTTACACACGAGTATTCACGTTTTCGTCTTCGATGGTTCGAGTCCTGCAGGCATCACTTTTTTTCCTCAAACAATATCTTTTTGTATGGCTTATTTTGTTGATATTGTACAAAGTGATTATTCGCTGTCAAACGTTTTTGATTTTAATAGAGGCATCTTATATGTAACATAAGGAAAATGGTAAGTTACATTTGACTAATGCACGGAATTTTATTTGACAAAGAATACCATGGCGTAGGGGAGATAACACTTACGTTCACCTGACGGATGTAAGGAAAATGTTTCATCAAAACATTATTAATTTAAAATTCTAAATAAATGTCAGGTTATTCACTAAAATAGAGCTGTGGTTTCTGAAACTTAATCATGTAATTGGATCCTTTCAATTGGTTAATGCACAGACTTTTATTTGACGCAAAGCACGAGATATGCAAATGAGTCTACACCAAGGTTTCCGATTTCCAAAATTTCTTTATAGGAAAGTGTGTTGGAGGTAGGACGGAGGGCTAAAACAAATGGCAGAACGAATCATTTTAACCCCCACTATGTCCAAATGTTACGTCATATTCAAATCAGTTATTACCATATACTTAAATTAGATTTTACCCCTTTTTTGACAGCGTCAGGAATATAAGTCCGAGTTAACAATTCATACATTAAGGGTTTTCATACGCCCACCTTCCCTTCTGTTTCAACCCTTTGTTAGATCTACTTGGATTTCCAACATTTAACTCCTGGCATCGCTATTACTTAATTTTAAAGACAATGTTGTATTAATTTGTCTCTTTACATTAACTTGAAATCAATTACCGTCTGATAACTGTGTATGACAATGTTGTATTAATTTATGTCTTTGCACTCACTTGATATCAATTACCATCTGATAACTCTGTATGACAATGTTGTAATAATGTATCTCTTTACATTAATTTGTTATCAATTACCGTCTGATAACACTGTTTGACAATGTTGTATTAATTTGTCTCGTTACATCAACTTGATATCATTTACTGTCTGATTACACTGTATGACAATGGTGTAGTAATTTGTCTTTTTGCATCAACTTGATATCAATTACCGTCTTATAACGCTGTATGACAATGTTGTATTAATTTGTCTCTTTACATCAACTTGATATCAATTACTGTCTGATAACTCTGTATGGCAATGTTGTATTAATTTGTCTCGTTACATCAACTTGATATCAATTACCGTCTGATAACGCTGTATGACAATGTTGTATTAATTTGTCTTGTTACATCAACTTGATATCAATTACTGTCTGATAACTCTGTATGACAATGTTGTATTAATGTGTCTCGTTACATTAATTTGATATCAATTACCGTCTGATAACGCTGTATGACAATGGTGTAATAATTTGTCTTGTTACATTAATTTGATATCAATAACCGTCTGAATACACTGTATGACAATGTTGTATTAATTTGTCCTGTTACATCAACTTGATATCAATTACTGTCTGATAACTCTGTATGGCAATGTTGTATTAATTTGTCTCGTTACATCAACTTGATATCAATTACCGTCTGATAACTCTGTATAACAATGTTGTGTTAATGTGTCTCGTTATATCAACTTGATATCAATTACTGTCTGATAACTCTGTATGACAATGTTGTATTAATTTGTCTCTTTACATTAATTTGATATCAATTAATGTCTGATAACACTGTTTGACAATGTTGAATTAATTTGTCTCGTTACATTAATTTGATATCAATTACTGTCTGATTACACTGTATCACAATGATGTATTAATTTGTCTCGTTTCATTAATTTGATATCAATTACTGTCTGATAACTCTGTATGGCAATGTTGTATTAATTTGTCTCGTTACATTAATTTAATATCAATTACTGTCTGATAACACGGTATGACAATGTGGTATTAATTTGTCTTGTTACATTAACTTGATATTAATTACCATCTGATTACACTATATGACAATGTTGAATTAATTTGTCTCGTTACATCAACTTGATATCAATTACCGTCTGATCACTCTGCATGACAATGTTGTATTAATGTGTCTCGTTACATTAATTTGATATCAAGAACCGTCTGATTACACTGTATGACAATGTTGTATTAATTTGTCTTGTTACATCAACTTGATATCAATTACTGACTGATAGCTCTGGATGACAATGTTGTATTAATTTGTCTCTTTACATTAACTTGAAATCAATTACCGTCTGATAACTGTGTATGACAATGTTGTATTAATTTATGTCTTTGCACTCACTTCATATCAATTACCATCTGATAACTCTGTATGCCAATGTTGTAATAATGTATCTCTTTACATTAATTTGATATCAATTACTGTCTGATTACACTGTATGAGAATGTTGTATTAATTTGTCTCGTTATATTAACTTGATATCAATTACTGTCTGATTACACTCTATGACAATGTTGTATTAATTCGATATCAATTACCATCTGATAACGCTGTATGACAATGTTGTATTAATTTGTCTCGTTACATCAACTTGATATCAATTACCATCTGATTACTTTGTATGACAATGTTGTAATAATGTATCTCTTTACATTAATTTGTTATCAATTACCGTCTGATAACACTGTTTGACAATGTTGTATTAATTTGTCTCGTTACATCAACTTGATATCATTTACTGTCTGATTACACTGTATGACAATGTTGTAGTAATTTGTCTTTTTGCATCAACTTGATATCAATTACCGTCTTATAACGCTGTATGACAATGTTGTATTAATTTTTCTCGTTACATTAACTTGATATCAATTACTGTCTGATTACTCTTATCACAATGATGTATTAATTTGTCTCGTTACATTAATTTGATATCAATTACTGTCTGATAACACGGTATGACAATGTTGTATTAATTTGTCTTGTTACATTAACTTGATATTAATTACCATCTGATTACACTATATGACAATGTTGAATTAATTTGTCTCGTTACATTAATTTGATATCAATTACTGTCTGATAACTCTGTATGACAAATGTTCTATTGACGTTATCCGGACATTAACCCGATACAACTTTCCTTCTTCTGTCAAAGACAGAACAGTACAGGAAACATATCTACAAACTGGAACATATAGAGAAATACTATATTGTATTCAGAGATGTAGGATAAGAATATTACGACCTTGGATTTCCCAAATGGGACGAATTCCTCAGCAAGCTCTGGGGTTTATCCATTTTGATAATCCCTTGGACGGAATTATTCTATCACCTATATTCATAGCTGTCTGATGTAGCATAATTCATATTTCGTATACTGTATCTAATACCAATGTTTTAAATGGTACAATCATCTGTTTGCATTACGTTGACCTTTCTGCGTCCGTATGGTGTATCTGTTTAGAAATGGATGTTGGTTAAAGTACTGTCCAGTTAAAAGAGTGTGGTGTAGAAAGATGGAATTATTGTATTTATTTTTCAACGAAAAGTAGGTTTTAAAAAGTAAGGTATGCAAAATCTTCTTTACTGGTTTTTGGTTTGTCCAAAAAGGTTCAAGGAAATTTAGCAACCATTAAAAAACAATGCTTATACATTATGGCGAATGAAATGGTGGAGAAAAAGAAACATGTTCATGTCAATTAGTGTAGGGTAGGGAAGTCTTAACCTCGGAAGTTCTAAATTGGGGTTAAAACCTTCCTTACATATGAAAGGGTCTGAGATATCTCACACTGTCATTCTACATGGACACTTGCAACTTCGAATTTTTGAAGTGGGGAATGCAAGACTTTCTCTTATATAAATGGTGGATAGAGAATCCCCTCATTACTGGGGTTAATCCACAGGAAAAAAACTTAGAATCCAACCAACATTGGACATGGAAAAATGTTTTCTTTGATATTCACTATAATTGGGCATTTTCCCCACAGCTTCCCTCAATGAATTTTCAAATGAAAAAATAACAAATTTTCTTGATTCTCTTCATTTTTATATAAACTCAAAAGTGAACTAGAAACATGTAAAGCTTCACAATCCCAATCCACGGGTATACTTGTTACCCTTTGTCTACCAACACACATGTATCGCAAGTAACCTGGCGACCGAACCTGATGTATCTCACAGTGCTGTCTAACGTTCAGTTCACAGAAATGTAATCGGGTTTACGGCCAAATCTAGCATAGATACTCATCCCATGGGAACATCAACTGAATGTCTGGTCCATATGAATCTTGCGTTAAGGTCTGGCCATCTTGGTACCTTGTGTGGATCCTTGGCGCACTAGTATTTGATCTGGAAAGGATTTCCAGCTATGTGTGTCTCTTTAAAGTAGAAATCTGGACCACAAGTGTCTGCGGTGGATCTCACGTACAAGGTTAACTGCAGTGGATCTTAGGTCCAAGGGTGACCGGGCAGATCGCCGGTCATAAGGTGAATACAGTAGAACTGTAGTCCAAGGCTGAGTGCAGGTGACTTTCTGTCCATAGGGGAATTGCAGTTGATTTTCTGTCCGAGAGTGTCTGCAGTGGATCTCTGGTACAATATTGACTGCAGTGGATATTTGGTCAAAAGGTGACTACAGTAGGACTCAAGTCAAATGGTGACTGCAGTGGACCTCCTGTTCCAATGGTACTGTGATTACTTAGGAACTCCGGTCCAAGGGTGACTGCAGTGGACCTCCTGTCCCAAGGGTACTGTGATTACTTAGGAACTCAAGTCCAAAGGTGACTGCAGTGGACCTCCTGTCCCAAGAGTACTGTGATTACTTAGGAACTCAAGTCCAAGGTTGACTGCAGTGGACCTCCTGTCCCAAGGGTACTGTGATTACTTAGGAACTCAAGTCCAAGGGTGACTGCAGTGGACCTCCTGTCCCAAGAGTACTGTGATTACTTAGGACCTCCGGTCCAAGGGTGACTGCAGTGGACCTCATGTCCTAACGGTAATGTGATCGCTAAGGAGCTCCTTTCCAAGGGTGACTGCAGGCGATCTTCGGTCCAAGGGTATCTGCAGTGGATTACCAACCCCAATCAAATAGGAATCTGTCCCATTTTCGCTGCAAAACGCCAGTTATCTGAAAGGAATAATAGTGCTTATTAAATGGCAATGTTACAACTTGTTAAATAAAACACAAATGAAATTGAATATTGTTTAGCTATGATAAATAATTAAGCTGTAAAAAGTATGAACTCCACCCTGTTATATTGCATCATTTAAAAAAAAAAAATATGAATCTCTTTGCAATTCCGTTAGTATATGTCCACAAACTGTCTTTAATTTATATAGGTTAAATATTCTCCTTAGAACAACGATATTCAGTTATATCCTACATTGGCATTTTGGATTAGATACTTCTTAACTTTACTGCGTATTATTGTAAAAGGTGGTGATAATTCTGAGTTTTCGAAGTAAACGAGTTATCCTGGATGTTTCAGAGTCGTCGACATTATTTGCAGGAACATTAGTGACTTTAGAAAGGCTACATGACCATTCGTCGGATGGCATATAAGTTATGAGTTTCTTGAATTGTTCTACACCACCTTCTAATTGTTCCTAGGACGAGAACTGAGAAACGACGCCGCCATTCGAGAAGTCGGTTAGAGGCGAGTGTTTTCATTTATCGCGCCAATTTATTCTGACTGTCAAACGGTGTCTCACTCCGAGAAAACAATTAACAGTTAATTAAGGAGTTTCGCCATCTTTGAATAATTATCTTGCATGCGGAATCAAAGGAAAAAAATCAACCCAAATATCATCATGTATCTATTAAGGTTATTTTCCATCGGGTTACTTTGCAGTTTCAAAATATTCACTTAGGCAATATCACAAGAGTAATATGCGGTTTTTCCACACGTTTTGTCTCGTTGAAATGATGACGTACGAGTTGATAAAAGTTTAACTTCGAAATTTAATTATAGATAACTTTTTTGACTTGACGGTGGGATATTTTGGTGTATCCAAAACATTCCGTACAAAGTTTAGAACCTAACTGACTTACAAAACATCATAACAAAAATTCGATGTGATAAGAGCATCAGTTAATGCTCGATTACGTTATTCATTTTGTTTCATTAACTCTTCACTTCTGTAATCTCACAATGAGCTATTCCAACCTTTGAATTGGAAGGGTTCAAATGTGTCTTCAGGGATAAATGAGTTAATAACCGAGATAATTTGAAGTAAATGACGAGGAAAAGAAACGATAACCCCAGAGGTATCTGCGCTTTCATGAAGAACCGTTACTTTCTTTTCTTATTCCCTTTCTGCGTCAGCTACCGACCTAATATAAGGGATTGATCAGACCTTAATTCCACATAACTGTGCACTAAGATATTAGCTCCGGCTTTAATTTCTCTATAGGTAAACCATTGATTAAAGCTGATAGTGCAAGTTAAAAAGCTTTCAACTGAGAAAAGCTTTCAACTGAGATTCTTTTTTTAAAATCTGGTTTTAAGATCTTTCCCGGTGACAATCTCTTCCGGCTGTCGTATCTAAGGAAGCGCCGACAGTTTACATGTAGAATGTACTTGCTTGTTTTTTTTTTATATCGGTTGCCGATCAGGGTGCGCGGTGTATTAAATCGTAAGTCGGTTTGACAGGTAATGCGCTTTTTTATACCAAGCGAAACCCTTACTCGTTACCAAGCAAGGACAAGCTAAAATGTCGGCACTTCCTTAGAAACGATAGCCGGAAGAGAAAGTCACTGAGAATCTGAAAACCGGAATTTTTATCATTTTTTTTTTTTTAAATCTCAATTAAACGCTTTTAAATTTGAACTGTCGACCTTTAGTTAAGGAATCATCATCATTTTATGATTAGTAGCGTTTGAGAAAGCGGAACCAAATGAATACTTACCGACCACTTGTTACACGAATCAGTCCTGATCCACTTGTCAGGGTCTATGATAGTCTGGGCCTCTCTCGGCGTATGTAGGGCAGCACACAAATTTTCGAAGTGATACCACATATTAATTCCGAAAACTTTATAATTCAATCTCCAGGAAAAATATTCATTATATAATGTATCGTTTGCATTCAACAGATTAAGATAATCTGACAGTTCCTGGGCACTGTTAAAGTCATGTATATTTATGTAAGATTTTGGAGGTGCACTTATAACCTGATCGCCTTTCCAGTTAACAATTGGAACAGTATTTCGTGAAAAACTGTGCCAAAATTTTTCTGTCACATAATCTTTGCAATTGGCATTTTCAAATGCAATACGAAACTTATATACCATTGAGTTACATACAGGATTGTTTGTTCTAGGGCAAGTTAAATTTCCACACTTTCCGAAGAAGTCTATATCAACGTACTTTTGCAGTTCTCGCATATGTCGATATCTCTGCGCGTCATCCGGGCAATCACTTATCACGGCAACAACCATCTTGGTTTTACCAATGGTGTAGTCTATGCCACGATACATTTCTGACGCTTTAATTTTCTCTTCCGGTGTCAGTGGAACAAATGCACCATAAGGACCGTGAACTGTAGAATCTGTTCGATAAGTCATCGTCCAGTTAAATGCATTAAGCCATGGTAATCCAGTATAATGAAGATGAGGAGGAGCTTCGGCGTTGTACATTATCCAAACCTGGTCCGGTCTTCTATATCCGGGTACTGTCTCCCAGACGTAAAGGTCTAGGTAATGGAACATCAAAGCGTCGGCCGACTCCAGTTCATTTCGGTCTGTTGTCACAACACAACTGTACTTACTTTTGTTCATGAACATTGCGATATCATCCGTCCAGCCTCCCAAGAAAAACTTGGTCCACATCAGTACTTTCTTCGTAGTTTTATTGACGAAATGTGTTTGGTTAAACTTGATAATATTATCGTCACAATTTGGAGTTAGGCAAACATTTTGATTGAAAAGTTTCATTGTTGTTAAGGAATTGCCACGTAAAATAACGTACGTTCCTATATAGAAAAAACACAGCACTCCAAAAGCTGTAATGCAATACCTCCTGGGTATGGGGCTCAGCTTAAAAGAAGAAAGAGCACCACAGTTGTCGCTTATAAAGGTCATATCGATGCGTTTCCCTCCAAGAGCTTGAAGCACATTTATCATTCCTTTTTAATGCATTATATCTGAAAGTAGAAAAAATAAAATATAATTAACTATACAGTTTTGTACAAAGGATATCAAACTTTTTTTTTTAAATATTTTTGATGTCAGCATTTTCCGATTTATTTATTTATTTAAATCATTTACAATGTTTATCTATTTTTTCAAATTAAATATCTACCGCGGATTTTTTTCGTAATGATGCGTCCGCGCAACAAAGCTTAGTTTTACATAAAGAGTATGTCCTTAGATGACGGGCTACATAAAAACTCTTATAAGGTGACATCTCAGTCAAATGCTGAAGAACAGCACCTCTGCCACGATTTCTCAACCGAGTTAGAAATCGTGCTAAAACTGCTACGTTCGCAACACGATTTCTCGCCCTGACACGATTTCTCACCCTGACACGATTTCTCACCCTGACGCGACTTCTCGCCCTGACACGATTTCTCACCCCGACACGATTTCTCACCCTGACACGATTTCTTACCCTGACACGATTTCTCGCCCTGACACAATCACGATTTCTCACCCTGACACGATTTCTCGCCCTGACACGATTTCTTACCCTGACACGACTTCTCGCCCTGACACAATCACGATTTCTCACCCTGACACGATTTCTCCCCCTGACACGATTTCCCCCCCTGACACGATTTCTCCCCCTGACAAGATGTCTTACCCTGACACGATTTCTCGCCCTGACACAATCACGCTTTCTCGCCCTGACACGATTTCTCACCCTGACAAGATGTCTTACCCTGGTGATAAATCGTGTTATGTGTAAGCATATTACCCGATGTTATGATTTTTTGGCGATTGCGGTATATTTAGGCTTATATATAAATTTAGTGAAATTAGCGCAGACACTAATATGATATTTGATATTAAGTTTTCTGAACAGATCTAAACCATGGCCTCTCATTTGCTGAAACATTTCGGGCTATACTAATTTCTGCTCTGTTTTATTGACCGCAATATAGGTAAATTAAATTAATATTGTGATAGTGTTCTTGAAGATGGCAAATACAAAAGTAAACCTTCACCGCAAAATGGCTGCTGAAGACTGAAGTCGAAGTCATGCATTGTCAACCTCCAAATCAATCAATAATATTACGTATGCTGTACATTTCGGCAAGTTTTAAGTACATTTAGTTCTTTCTATTCCCAGAGTGAGAGATGACGTCAGAAAAAAACGAGGGATGAAAATGAATGGAAGAAATCATTATTTGGCGGATATATTGTTTTCTAACAGAACCGTTAGATAAAAAAAAATGTAAAATAAAAATTGACATCGTGTTTTTATAAATTCGGTTTTCCAATCTAAATATAATAGCTGATATTCCCAATTTCAAGTAGATAAGTAGATTGTCCATACCTATTTCAACATTTTTCTTTGTTCTCTAAAAAGTGAGGGAACTGAGAACACCTGCACCGATGTCAGTTTAATGTGGAGTCTGCCGAGCGTGTCCTTTAGATAAAAACCAAAACAAGGTGTCAAATAACGCACTTGCTCTTTAACAAAAGGCCACGGCTCGACAGAGGTCCAGGGAACGTGGCGTCCCATCTCACATCGATTCCTAAATAAACATCCCTGACCTGCAGTCGTTCCATTTTGTGACATACTATTAACATCAAAAAATATTATTGGAACCGTCCGTCGTCCTATAAACTTGTACAGTTGCTAGCAGTTCATAATAGGAAAGAACTTTGTCATTTAGGTAAATATTTACAATCAAGTTTACTATTACGCTCGACATAATGTGCATTGTTTAATTATCATGTGCATGCTTTTTCTTTTTATCTCCAGATAAAAACTGATTACTTCTTACTTCATTTGATTGAGATTCTTCCAATCTTTCAATCATGTACATTACTTCAATTAATCATCTCATTAATACTTTTCTTTTGTCATTTGTATTCTCATGTGCGTACAACTGTCCGCCATCTATCAAATCAGCTTGTCTTGTACAATGTAGGTTATGTTACATGTTATTCAATATTTGTGTAATGTTTTCGACACCCTTATTGTATATGTACACATTAATTACTCTGTATTATGCTGTAATGCTTATGGGCCGTAAGGCTGAAAGTGAATAAACAATACAACATCAGCTCTGGTGTGTACTCAGTACTGTACAGATTTTGTGTTTAATCTTAATGTAATGTCTAATTACCATCTACTTCATGTTCTTCTTGGTGGTATTTTCAATTATGACTTATCTCCATATGAACTGGAGGACTTTAGAATAAAATCCATTGTTATTATTACTAAAATTCTTCAATACAGTGGCATTATGTAATTTATCCTTAGATATTTGAATGTTGTATACTGAGTAATATGATCACTAATTTACTTGTGTGTACCTCACGCTTCAGCAAGATGAATACATGAAATACATATTTTTTGTTTTCATATTAGTAGGCAAGCATTTCCTACGTCTTTCCTGTTGACTAGTGCAACTTACTATCATTCATAATAATGTTTGTATTGTATGAATTAATCTTGTGATATGTATTACTACAACTGAAATCATTGCATGGTTGCGCTGTTTCTTCAAGTTAATTATTATATTGTATGTTGTGTATTTCACACCACTGTATGACTATATTGTATGACTTCGTGCAACGGGTTCTACTCAATGTATGATTGTATTGTAAGACTTATGTAACAGTAATACTGTCTATAATAATGCTGTATAATTTATAGTGTGGTGCTTGTAATACTGTTTATTACAATGTTGTATGATTGCTTAGTACGAGAAGTGTATTACTGTCTATACTATTATATGATAATGTAGTTTGAGGAGTGTAAATATGTCTATTATATCAATGTGTGATGTAATGTATGATTAGTGTTATACTGTCTATCATCATAATTATTTACCGTATAATGACTGTAATAGTACCTATTATATCATTGTGTTGTGTTTATAGTACTTTATGGTATGATGCGTGTACTATTATTATTCTCTAATGTGTGTGTCTGTCCATGTGCATGTGTGAGTCCCTATGTCAGGGTGTGACCATGATTGTGAATGCATTTTCTTCTCTTTTCAATAGTGTTTTGATCGTTATTTCTGTAACTCTTCATTTCTGGAGGAAATAAAGGAAATAATAATAATAACTCAGTCTGACCTGAACATGCACCACACTGACGGTCCAGGGAACGTGGCGTCCCATCTCACATCGATTCCTAAATAAACATCCCTGACCTGCAGTCGTTCCATATTGTGACATACTATTAACATCAGCGATTCCTTTGAAACACACTTGTACAACACTAAAGGGATTATCCTGGGGAAAGCATACATTTCTTTTGAAACGTGATCTACATCGATTTTATGACGTTGTGATTAGTGTATGAGGCGTATACTCTGCGGAAACGGTGTGTATTTGAAAGTAATCATATAGACCGATTCCAGTGTCATTTTACCGTAGCTATATCTATAACAAACCATAGCCATCGCGTACCCCAATTACAGTGAACTTTTACCGTAGCTATATATGGTACATGTAGTAACAAACCATAGCCGTCGAGTACCAAGATTTACTGTATCATTTTACCGTAGCTACGTATATATTACAACAAACCATAGCGCTCACGTACATCGATTCCTGTGTCAATTTACCGTAGCTATGGTAGTAGCAAATGATACGCAAGTCCGTGCCTTATACTGTATCTGTGTTCTTTTACACAATCAGGTCTTAATCGTGTGTAGAACCAGCTCTTCAATACACAGGTCACCTGATCGTATCGCCACTCTCTATACAACCGATAGGTTAATCCGTCCACAATGGACTACGAGCTTGGAGTCAATCAAACTTAACTAATGATTTTCAATTAGAGTCATACGAATTTCGAAATTCAGGACTTAGGTTTTGAAGTTATTATTAAAACCCGCTGGAATATTTCCATGTATAACGGACACGACTTACCTCGTATGGGATATTAGCATGTCCTTGAATCGATCTCGCGCGCTACCTGTGTCGGCTAATTGACTCCGTACCGTTTGACTCGGACAGTGATCATTTATCGAACAGGTCCTACCGATAAACAGCTCGGGGACGGACCCAGTCAGGACTCGGCTTCAATCATGTTACTCGCACTATCGATCCCTGTATACTGGACAATTCAACTAAAACGATTTTATTGTTACAAATAAAATGATCTGACAAAAGGAAAAACCTAGATAAATTATTAAAAATTGTATTGATCAAATTATGATAATGAGCAAAACTTATGATGATGTGATTTCGTAATTAGTAGTTGTACTTCTGTAACTGGAGATTTAATCAATAAAAGTGGGAAATGTACAACAAGTACCTGACCTGATACACACATCCAAACCTTCACACTATAAAAATCCTCAGGAACCTGTGAATTTGTTACAGTGTAGAAATGTTCGGAGCTTGACTGGTGTTAGATCAGCCATTTCTCCACGCCCCACTACCCTACCCCCTTCCCCTCCAAATAATGGTAACAATCTCGTAAATTCTTATACGCATATACTATTGGCAACGCTGTAGGCTTGATTATATATATACAAATGTATAATGTATACCTGTGTGAAAAACGTTTGAAATTAAATTTTAAATGAACTTAAAAATCCTTTTTATGAAGGTTAGCGTCCATACCAAAGGCCAACTCAATCGAACATGAATTCGGGTTAAGCGACCATACCCAGGGACAATTCAATAGAGCATGAATTCAGAGGTAAGTGACCATACCCAAGGACAACTCAATCGAACATGAATTCAGAGGTAAGCGACCATACCCAGGGACAATTCAATAGAGCATGAATTCAGAGGTAAGTGACCATACCCAGGGACAACTCAATAGAATATGAATTCAGAGGTAAGCGACCATACCCAAGGACAACTCAATCGAACATGAATTCAGAGGTAAGCGACCATACCCAAGTACAATTCAATAGAGCATGAATTCAGAGGTTAGCGACCATGACAATTCAATAGAACAGGAATTCAGAGGTAAGCGACCATACCCAAGTACAATTCAATA